ATTATTATTATTATCTAAGAGCAAGATTCCCTTATTTGCGAAACGATATCTGCCTTTGAAGTTAATGGCGCAACCAGCTTCCGACAAAAACGCAGGTGGCACCACACTTCACATCTCACTTTCTACATATCTCTAGCCTCAATTCTTTACAATTTTGATGAATTTGTCGCCTCGTACCTCTATGCAGTTAGGCGCCAAACACAAAATTTTGATGCTTCTTTGAATAGACTTGCATTTCTTACTCAATTTCTAGTATTTTTTCATCTCATGAGAGGAATTTTAACGTTCCATGTGCATAAAAGAAGAAACACGACATTCGCTCCTCCCTCGCCTTCTTCCTCCTTTTTATTATGTTAGTTTATAAAAAGGAAAAAGAGAAATACTAGCACCTATAACCATACTTAAAATAAGCACAGAAAACCTGCAATATCACTAAAAATTTTCATCACACGTGGATGATAAGCTCGACAAAACCAGCGATAAAGATGATCTTTATAACAGAGCTAGCATCTCAGGCCAATGGAAAAAAATAAGTAGGAGTCGTGAGAGAGAAAGAGACAATCTAAAAGGCTTTCCGAAAATTAAACACACACCCACGACTGAATCATCCATAGCTCGTTGCTGAACTTGAAATTCATCGAATCACGCCCATATCTGAAACGAAGTTTTTTCAATTTGCCTTAAAATATTTTACTGCGCTAACGGTCATTTGATCACTCAGTTATTTGGCTCTCGGTATCTGAGCGCTCAGAATCTGCTACTTAATTTCAAGCACATCCTCGAAGTGTACGGGCATTTCACAGCAGCACAAATGAACACCAGGGTAGGCGAACTACTGTATTACATATACATTACAGGAAATTGAAATCTTTTTCTGACATGGAAATCAGAATCATTTGTGAGCGAGCAACAAGCAAAGCAGTTCTGACCGCAGCAAGCACCTGCATCAATGATACAAAAGCTATGAAAAACTGACAGGTAATCATAGACTAAGGATTATGCTGGAACACTGCACCTACGGATGTCCAACACGGGGCTAGAACAGGATGAAGCTGGAATCATATCACGGGGACCTATGATTTGTTCAGTGAAAAGCAAATTCACGATAACTTACACGAATAGTGCAGTCCCAGCTAGCAGTGCAAATAGCTGTTCCATCCGGACTTGTTCGTAAGCAAGAAATTCGGTTTTCGTGACCGTACAAGACAGAATGGCGCACACATTTCAACGAATCCCAAACACCAACACGGTAATCACCGTAACCAGCAAAGAGAATCCGACCTATGTATGTCGAAAAGTTCAAAAGTGCTTGTTGAAAGACTTGGCTCATTTGAACGACAAGAAAATTCTGTCCCATAATTTTAGCTTCTACTACAGCATTTGATGGATTTCATTTAAAACGGTCCTACT